CTAAAAGTAGCATTTCCCCTTCACTCCCCTAACCACCTGCAAAAAACCATTTACATTTATAGTTTGATCCAGGTCTTGAATCCTCTAGTGAAGAGACAAAATGCTGTCTTTAATACACAGCATTCTAGGAGATTTCAAAAGATACTGACAAATCATCATGCAGATTGTGTCATAACATTTTAAACTTTGTGTGTGTGCACCTCAGTTCTCTCTGTTAGCTGTGAAGCTGAGGCTTAATTATTCAAAAGTGAAAAAGCTTCCCTTTAAAAAAAAAAAAAAAAAAATCAGTGCTTTTTTGCAGTTTAGTAAATCTGTTGTGACCATGTTGTAATAAATACATGTATTAGAGACAAAAATCACACTCTCAGCCTTCTCTTCAACTTATAAATGTTTCCAGATTCTTAACAGGCATGATACCAATGTTAAGGGAGCAGCAAATAGATCTTAACTTGTGGGAAGGAGAGTATTAATAACCTTGTGGAAAATCTGAGTGTAAACGGAATTGCCAGCTGTTTACCTTCCTTTGATTGCAGGTTTTATTTAATTCGTAGCACAGTATTACTTACAGATCAGTACCAGTATGTATACCAGTGTATTGCAGAACTCCTGAGTAGCGTGCTGAGATTATGAAGAGCTGGTGAGATTATGTGGTGGGTAGAATTTGAAGGGGGGAATACACACAGGAACTGCAATACTTAGTACCTGCCCTGGGGACAGTGTTATACAAGGAGTGTGCATTAATACAAGTTGTCCTCAGGGTATTTTGATTATTGTAGTTAGCTATTGATATGCTTTCCTACTGTTGGAACAGATTAAATACAATTCAAATGAATTAATTGTATATATAATTCGAGGATAATTTAGCTTTTTTGTCTCTTGGCTTCTGAGAGGGTACTAACTTGAGTTTTTTTTTTCTACTTACAGTGACGAGAAAGTGGCAGCACAGCAGTGGATATGCATTGGAAAGTCGAAGGATAACAAATCACAGCTGATACAGCCTGGCTTTTGAGTGTAGTGTTGCCCACCTTTTTCTAGAGGACTGTGTAAGTGTTCAGGAGTTGCCTTTGAAAGTAGCACTACTGATTTCCTGGACATACATAAAATTCCTGGTGGAAGCCAACTGCTGCCTGCCATAGCTAGCACCTTCCAACGGTCCAGAGAGAGCTGGTTTGTTCCTCGTTGCACACACATCCTGCAGCAGCAAAATACTTGGGTTGCCCTTTACATGTGTGCTTGCCATTTATGCTGATAAAAAGAGCAAGTTACACAGAAGTGAGTCTTGGTCCTCTTGAATACAGAGGACTTCACCAAGAAACCATGAGAAGTTCTGCTACCTTACATTTAACAGTTTTGTCCCGACCTTCTGGATGAGAGGAGGGGAATGTTGGTGTACTGAGACAGTGTTAGTGATGAATGCCCCAAATAATTAGTGTTCCACTGGACAGTGCTACATCTCTTGGGAGTAGATGCTTCCTTCAAAACTTTGTCTTGATTTTGATGCCTTCTTCGATTATATGCGTGTTGATGGGCGAATTATTCTATTACATATGTGTATGTGAGGCGAATCCTCAGGCATTGGTATTTCATGTAGATGAGTCATAAACAATCATGGATAATAAAATTTATACTCCTGTGATAGACAAACTGATCTCACTTAAACAACCGTCAGTTCATAGTAGCTGAAGAAGAAAAAGCATGCATACCTTGTCTACAGATTTAAAACTACATTTGGGGCAAGGGTATCACTTTAAACTTCATTTATGGGCTGCAAATTCTAGGAGTAAATTTGTGTAGCAAATGGGTAGAATTGTAGTATTTCCCAGGGCAAATAAATTTACTGTTATTAAGTACTGGGGGTTTGGGGTTTTTTTGTCTAATTAAAGGCATGCTTTACTCAGAGACACTTGGATGGTGGTAAAGTTTATTAGTGTTACATCTTGGAAGGTTATTGTTACAAAGTGATCTCAGTGTCTCTTCTACAAGAAGGAGTAACATTCTGTACTATCAGAGTCCTTTTTCAGCATTAGCTCTTAGTCTTGTCCTGCTGTTCAGTCTGGACTGAATTGTCCTACCGAAAGTGTAATGCCAAAATGGCAGCTACTGTAAGATCATTGCCTGCCTAAAATTGTAATTAATGAGAATGTACCCTGATCTACAGTATTAGCTCATGCACAGAATCAAACTTCATCATTGAAAGCCACCGATTAAAATGTATAGGTAGATTCTGCAGCAGAAAAAAACACCAGTGCTGTGCTTTGTAGTTGAGTATTTTCCCTGTGCTGGAAGAAAAAAAGAGTGAATTACTTAAGCATGTGTGACTTCAAGAAGCACTCAAAACTGGTGTCTGAATATGTGACTGCTGTTCTTACCGTGATCCTATTGCTGTGCTGTTCTGATGAGTATGCTGCCAGTCACTCGGTACCTCTCCCCCTTTTAAGGTAACACTGTGCTATTTAGTAATCACTGGTATAAATCAGGCTGTAAACAAGTATTTGTAACCAAGTTGACTCTGCAATACATGATAGACGATTCACTTGATTTGTTGCTGTTAGCAAATAGCCAAAGGTGAATCCTTTCCAAAGACCAGACACTGTTCATTCCTCAGTGGCTCTACCTTCATACCCTGGGTTTGCCACAGAATTAATTTTGGTGTGGGAGTGGGTAAACAAGCTAGAATGTGTTTAGAAGTTACACTAATGGAGGTTGGGATTGAAGTGGCTAATCAAAAACTCCGTAAATTTGTGGACTTCCTGCATATCTTTATCAGCAGATCTTTCAAGCAGTTGGTAAGTGTTCAAGATGGGGGAAGTATTTTCATTTAATTATAATTGCAGACATTGATATCTGCTTGGCTGCAGCAGCTGCATGTGAAATAATCATTAAACTAAACCTGCCCATGTGTGCCTAAGTTTTCCTTTAGGGGAGAGAGTGGGTGAAGTACTTTGGTGTTTGGGTTTGTAACTGACTTCAGCAAAGCAGGTGTGCAATTCTCCCAGTGTTGGAAGTATTTCTCTTTACATCAGAAACTGCTGTATTCTGATGGGGTGACTGAGGTGTCTTAGGTATCTGAATGTGTGTCCCCATTGATAAACGAGCATTAGTAGTTGTCTTGGCTACCTGCAGATTTGAAAAAAGAATGATGAAGGTGGATACTGTATGTATTTCCTTCTGCAATGCAGTAGTGCTTATGACAACTGAAAAAAAAAAACCAAAAGAACTGCTGATTAGCCATAATTTTGAAATGTTTTACACATGTTTGTAAATGTGCCTCATCATAGAGCAGTGAGCTGTGATTGAGCTGTAGACCACTTTATTCACAGTGCTTGCAGCCATGGTTTATGAGTATTTCCACACTACAGAGACCTGGAACTCATCCTGAAGTCCTGAAAAATGTCAGAATTGTGTCTAACCCTATAAGGATGGTTCTGATTTACTGGTGGCTGTTAAAATTGGTACATAGGTAGGTCCCAGTACTAGTCATAAGACCTGCAAGGTGGAGGCAAAACCATGCACATTTACTGTGTACAATTTATCCCTCTGCTGCTCTGTTTTTCCTGACCCTTTAAATCATGAGTAGTTTGGTAAGACTGGGTACTTTAAAACAGCTGTTATAAGTAACAGGGTAGGTATTGGCTCAAAACTTGGTAACCAAGAGATTTTGGTCTCTAGGATGCTTTGTTGCTGTTAGATTGCTCAAGCCATGATGTTCCAACTCCATCATCAAAAGAATTGCTTCATTTTCCATCTCTTCTGGTGAAAGGACAGTTATAAAGATGACTGGACTTTCCTGACTTGCTGTAGTAATGTAATATAGTAATGTAGTAACTTGTGTTGGTTAATACTTGTCCTTCCAATTGGGAACGGCTATAAAGAACAACATAAACTCTCAAGGGAGTTTCAACACGAGAATTCTCTGGTTTATTACTTCAGGCCTGTTTTTATAGACTGGTACGTGGAAGATACAGAAAAGAAACTCCTGTTGGTTAACAAAGTGGTACATCACCATCATTGGTCAGGGGGGGCTCATCACCTCCCTGACTTCCTCCTGCAAGGAAAACAAAGACTGCAAAACAACACCTGCAAGGCTGTTTAGTGTCCCTGAGAATTGTTTTAATTCCTTCTCATATTTTTCCCAGGCTACTTTCTCAGGCAGCCTGAGGAGCTATGTGGCCTGTAATTTGTACAGGCACTGTGGTTCAGATTTAGCATCCATAAATACTGCCCTGGGCAGGCTGGAAGACTACCTTCAGTGGATCCTGAAGTGGTGGTGGAAAGAGACATCTTAATAAGACAAGTAAAATAGTTGGGAATTTTATTCTAATCTTTGGATGGCTTAATTCCTGACCTTTTTGAAGTCATTCAGGTAATTATTTTGAGAGATTATCATCTTCTAAATAACCATTTTGGATTATATGTGGACTTCTACACAGCAGTTAAAAGAGAGCATTATTTATGCATAAGTGCATGATCAGAACTTATTTTCAAAAATCAGACAACAGAAAACTATTACAAAAGGCAATTTTAATTACTAGGTTTGCCACGTGAAGTAGAAAACCTATTTAGTGTGACAGTCCTCCAAAACAACCATTGTGAATTCTGTTTTACCACTGTAAATACGTTGTTATTTACAGTATTATTTCTTTGGGCAATAACCTTAGGTTCAGACCGAGTTTACTCAGTGATAGGGTGCCAGCTGCCACAAGGAGGAAGTCTCTAAGTGAGGTATTTTTGGTATAATAACTTCATATAAAACACTTGTGCTTTCAATAATTTTGCAGAGATGTTGTTAACAACCTGCATTCCCTGTCTCCTGCTGAGTGCTAGAAGCTATTTTAACAAGTTTTTCAAATTAGAGTAACTTCTTTTAGTTCCTGAGATTTGATTTCTGCACCAAGAAAAAAAAAAAAAAAAATTAAAAAAAATGGTAGTTTCACACTTGAGCTGCAGCAGGAAGAAGTAACCACGGATGTGGGTTCCAGTACGCTGTTGTACAGGAGAGCAGCGCTGGCAGCAGAACAGTCAGCCATGAATCCAGAAGAACAGATTGTAACATGGCTTATTTCACTAGGAGTCTTAAATTCCCCTAAGAAAATAGTAGATGACCCAGAGGGGTTCCTGAAAACTTCTCTGAAGGATGGAACTGTGCTTTGCAGACTAATTCATCGGCTTCTTCCGGGATCTGCAGAAAAGGTAATGCTTTCTGATGTATTTCACTACCCTGAGACAGAGCCCTGCTCAGTGAAACTGCTCTGGGCATTCTGAGGCCTAATTGCTCTGGTAAGTGAGAGGAGCAAGGAGCTTCAGAGAGAGGTGTTTCACATTCAGGTTTCTAATTCAGAGCCAAGTATGATAGTAGCTTTAATTCTTTGATTTTGTTTCTACATCCAGAAAAACACCCTGCAAGGTTGCACTTGGCTCACACATGTTCAGCCAGTGGCAGGAAATACTTAGCCTACCAGAGATCAAAATATCTTGATTTTGAATAGAAGGATATGCAGTGTATCAGTATTTACATAAATATAACTAATTACAACTGTAAATACATTCTTTCAGAACTCTTACTGCAAAATACCTTGTTAGTCAGGAAATGCACTGGAGAAGCAGATTGGCACAGGAATAAGCAAATAACCCTTGCATCTTTGCCTTTTGGTCTGTCCCAAGACCCGCAAATCCATTGGCACTGAAGCCATGTGAATACCTCCTGTTACAGTTTGACAAGGCATGTATTCACAGTCCAGAAGTGTGGTAAGAATCTGAAGGAGGAAAAAAAGGGACAGAGTCCAATGAGAGAGAGGAACTGGCAACACAGAATAGCAGCTTTAAAAAAAAACCGACAACAACACAGCAGGTTCTCCACCCTATAAAAAAGGAGCCTTTCATTATACAGAGATCAGTTTTGCTAGCTCCTTTTTCTTACAAGTGGTGGCTTGGGGCAGCATGTTGTTAAAGGTCATCCAATTTCCCACTGTCACTTAGGGCACTATCATATGCTGGCATTCAAAACAAGATGCCGACCGTTTCTATGTGTGCATCACTTCCTCCAGTGGCTTTCTTCCTGCTTCAACAGCTTGCCTGCCACCCCCACCCGCCCCCGATGAAGCTTCCCTAATTCAGTATAAAAGGCACATGTCAATATTCATACAGGCCTTCTCAACACAGGCAATGCAATGAGATCAGTGGATTTTCTTTCTTTAGTATTGCCTGGAGCCTAAAAATGAAGCTGACTGCATCAGTAATATCCAAGAGTTCTTGAAAGGCTGCGCATTTCTGAAAGTGGAGGTAAGTCAACTTAGATCCTTTCTTTTATTGTAACATGCCAATTTGATCAGCCTTCTGAAAGGAAGCCAGATATCAGAGGGAAAAAGTTGGTATCAATTCCTCATCTTTTGTATGAATAACATAAATGAGAGCATGAATATTCAGTCTTGACTGCGAGTGTAACACATTCTCATCTTTTGAGACAAAGCATGCAGCAATAACAGGAGATCAGTCTAAACAGACTTGTACCTGGACCTGTTCATAATTATTTTTTTGTTATTAGAAGGAATTGCAGGTTTTAGCCTTGCTTTAATGGGAAGGTGAAGTATTCTTAATACTGCACTATTTTTTGATTCCCTGCAACTGTTGGATAGGATTCTGGCAAACACATATTAAATTGTTCCTTACACAAAAAAAAATATCTTAATGAAGTCAAAAGATACCTTTTGTGTTGCTGTTCCTGATCCTACCTGTTTAGATTCTTATGTTTAACCACAGCTCAAATTTGCAAGATCAGTCTAAATGAATCACTTCAGAGTTCAATTAATTTTGCCATCAAATTTTTTACTATCTAAATACTTTTGTGTCACACTTAAATTCCTACAGTAAAAAAAGAAACCTGTAGCTGTCTCATCACTATCTTGTTTGAAACATGCTCAAGATTGTGGAAAAAAATATTCTGAAGAAAAAGTCTGCCAGAAGCAGGGACAGCATCCTTGGCATCATACATAATATTCATACACCACAGTGAGAAAAGTCCAACCGACAATAGCTCTGTTCCTGCATTTTTTCCTTTGAAGGTCTAAGCAAAGAAAGGACCTTCCTTCTCTGAAGAGTTTTTAGCTAATCAGCATGAAAATGTGTTCATTCCAGAACTGTCTCCCTGGTCTTTTGTTGCCCAGTGATGCATTTCTTGGAGCCTGCTGGAGCAGCAGAGTTTTAAAAGCATATATATAGAGAGACTTATAATCCCTGAAGGTCTATGACATCAGAAATCAGTTACTGCCAGTCTTCTGATACTGACCATATGATTTCCTCCATTTTTCTGAAAGTTTATTTTTCTATTTGCAAGCTACTAATAAAATGGTTGTGGTGGAAATTATGTTTAAAAATACGAGTTTTAAACAGCTAAAAGGTAGGGCAGGGGAACAGTCCTCACCTGTTGTACAGTGCCATCTCATAGCTTTGAAAGCTTGTTCTGCAATATTTCAGTCACACCACAATTTTCAGATACAAGAGGCAACATGGTGTTTCCATCTCTAGGTGTTCCTCTGATCCTCCATGTGCCTTTTCTTCCTTTGCTTTAATAAATTCAAGCTTTCTGACTACTTTTTTCTTCCAATTTATAACCCACTTCATCTTTGAAATATTCTGAGCCTTCAGTAAATCCTTCATGCTCAGGTGTGCCTCTCCCATTTGCTGTGAGAGGAGGCCTCAAAAGATGGATGAAAGGTCAAACCTCTCTTGCTCAAGTTTAAATTTTGCAGTGAAATGAAAAAAATTTCTTCTTATTTTTTTTTTTCCAAAATATTACCAGAGCGCCAAGATATGAATTTTGCTTCTTCCTAGCTCCTCTCTAGCCTCATGCAGAAGAAGGCTCAAGGTAGGACAGCTGAGATGGTAGGCAAGACATGGCACAGGCAGAGTGCTTATGCTTCCTTCCGACTCTTTTCCTGTGTTGCCAGCTTTTCTGAGTTCTCTCAGGCAAAGCCTCTGCCATCTGTTCCCTCTAAAAGCTGCTCTGTTTGGAACAGCTTGACAAGGAGACTCTGAGCAGCATTCCTGCGGGTGATCCTCCCTCATGCCTGATCCCCAGTTTGCCTTGGAAAGGGCCATTGTCCTTTAGGAGCGGGTTTACTGCATCACATTTACTCTGGAAGAGTGTCTGAAGCATCAGAACAGGCAGAGAACCTTCTGCTTCCAAGATCTATCAGCATTTAAGTTTCAGTGATAATGTATTAGGTAAAAGGAAGATGGGCACACATGCTGTTCTGCCTCAGCAACGTAGCCTGAGGAAAAGGTAACATCAGGAAAGGTCTAATTCATTTGAATTCTGTGGCAGCTATCCTGCTGCTTACCCAAACCATGGATATGAAAATCTAACCCTGATAATTCTCTCAAATTCTGCCTTTCTCCAAAGTATGGCACAGTGAACTCTTGCTCCTTAGATATGAAGAGGTACCCTAGGGCTGGACTTGAGCCACTTCTGTCTTCAGACTGACAAGGTCATGTTAAGGTCAAATATTCTTTTCCTGCTGCAGATGTGAGCAAAAGAGGATAGTCTGAGGAAAATGAGAGTTCAGGACTTATTTTCTGGATACTGACTTGTACAAAAGGGCCTCATCCTGGGGAATCTCAGACATGACATTAGCATGCCATCCAGGCATCCCATGGCTTCATTGTACTCTGCTTTCCATTTGCTTTTGTCATGGATGATTGTGGAGCTGCCATGGAATACACCACTTCACTGGGTGTTGCCAACATGCAGGAAAGGTGGTCAGTGTGGAAGGTAGGATTTCCAGCAGCTTTTGGTGGAAACCCAAGTCCCACCTTCCTCTCAACAGATACTGCTTGCCAATCTTTCACAGTAGGAGGGAATGGATAGAGGTTACTCTTTCAGAGCTACACATATGCACTTCCCTCCTACCCTTTGTTGTCCTGGTAACTCAGGAAGTGGAAGAAAGGAAGAAGCACAGTGAGGCAAACAGCAACTTCTCTTGTTTTAGAGGAGCAGTGAAATATTTGGACATGGGGGTAGAAGGACACACTGTGACCTTCCTGCTATGAGCTGGCTCCATTAAGTTGAAGCCATTCTACAGGCTGGAGGTGTGAACTGGAAGAATCCACCTCATGGCAGAGTATAAATAACAAAACAGTTCCTTTAGCTTCAGCCCAGGACTGAAGCCTGAATTCTTTTGCCGTTAGTGTTAGTCCTAATGTGTCAGTCCTAAAAGAGATGGCAAGCAGGGGAATCACTCCATCCTTCTAAACAGGCAAGTGTCATAATGAGGTGAAACAATGAGATTGTGTCCAAAATTTTCCAGCAGCCTTTCAGTGCTAGAATTTGATCCAAGTTATGAGAACATTTGTCAGTCCAGCTCTGCTGAGACAAAGGACTAGGCAAATAGACGTGTGCACTTCATTGGAGCTTAAATGTCCTTAGAGGATTCTTTCATGGCTTGGACTGAGGAACAGTGCAGAAATCCTGGATGTGCTTAAATTACACTGTGGCTTCAACATATGAGCTGTATCTGACCCAAGAGCTCGTCCAGTGAGTGAGCACTGCTAAGGCAATGCCAGCTGGATGCAGATGGGTTGAGGTGGAAAGTGGACAACAAAGGGTTCTGTCCTGATGGCCAGGTGGAGTCTAGTGTAGAAGAGACAGGGAAGAGATCATGACAAAAGAGAAAAATCATAGAAAGCTTCTGGCCTAGCTGCTTCTTGAGGACACAAATGAGAACTTTGCTTTTACTCCTGACACCAGTGTGCATGTAACAACAGCAGATGAATAGCTAAGCATCAGTTGCTTATGAAGAAGCACAAGACCTTCATTCAGCAGCAGCATTTTATTGTTAATACAACTACAAAACTCCTGGCAAGGTCTGAATTTTGTGAACTAAGAACAGTCTACGCCAGATAAATTGATAGCTGGAATAAACCTGGCTGTCAAGGATGATCATAGAGTATGCAGAGGGTCATTACCATTACGGGCAGCACGGAGATTATTTATGCTGTTGGAGGTGCCTGCAACCTCCAACAAGCTACCTGAACTGAAGGTGTGGTTAAGAAGGGGAGAAATCATCACCCTCTTAGCTCCCCATCCATGCACTCCTAAAACCTGCTCTGCTTTGGCTTCTCTCTAAAGTGACATTACCTCTCCTAGCTGGACAAGGTCAGAAGTGAGAGCTCCTGCCCAGCACCAACCAGCGCAAGCACTGGAGAATGAGTCTATCTGAATTTAGAGTGACCCAGTGTCCCAGAGACTCCTGGCACTAGATGTGTGGGGTGGCCCTGCATGGGGTTGGGACCTACTGCTGGGCTTCACCCTGGGTATCAGTACAGTGCTCCATTCCCTGCCCACGCTGCAGCTTGCTGGTGCGCTGAAGTATCTGGGGGTTTTCCTGTTCCCTGCTGGAGAATGTTCCCCGAACAGATGGGCACAGGCAGCAGAGGACACATCTCACTGCCTCAGCTGAACTGTGCCTCATCTGTGGGTGCTTCTGCGGTGTTTCTCCTCACAGTGATGCAAACCTGCTGCAATTACTGCTCCAATAGCGTGGGTATTCCTTCCTTGTTCCATCCTCTCCTGTCCTTTTAAATTCTTCTTTCCCTCCTCTCCCCGATTTACTTTTTCCCTATCCCCTTTCTCTTTCTTTCCCCCTCCCTCCCCTCCACCCCCGGCCTTTCTTCCCTTTCTCATCTCTTTACTCTTTGCCGTCCTGTTCCCGCTCCCCCGGGGGTCTCCTGGTGCCTCC